CAGTGCAGAGTCAACTCTAAATCTCAAGACAGAGTAATCTGCACCTTCTCTACACGTCATTCCTTCATAACTTTCTTATGGCTTTCTCCAGGCCATAATATATTTAAATTCAGCCTATTGTGACAAGTCATTACAATAGAGAATAGATATGTTTTTACTCAGACTGCCTTATTTTATAAATCATTGAATTTCAATAAATAACTCCTCCAGTGGAGCTGGAGGAGTTCAGCATAGATTACATTTAGTGGGGAGGGTGTTTTTTGGCTGGGTCTTACTTTGCCACCTACCACTTTACTTCAATGCGCTCATCTTTCCTAACCCCCTTTGTTTTTCAGACTGTAACATAAACTTCCACAGGAAAGTGTCATGCATGGCAGAAGGGCTCTTTCAAATATACAAATACCAGTCCAAGTACATGATGAAATTATTTCCAGTGACATTTTGCTGATGCGAACTCATTGCAACTTCTGTTGCTTTACAGCAGATTAATATTCTGATCCACACTGATTTTAAAGTTAGAATGAATGAGTATTTACAATTCACCATTCAATGAATGAGCATTTAGCCACTGAATGAATGGCATATTCAATTTCTTTGTCAAGGTCAAAAGTACCTAACAAAATTTTAAATTCCTTTCCTTTTCTATATGTTGATTCCATAAATTCAAGTGATCCAAAATAATTTTAAAAAAACAATACATACTATTTGATTTTGTAAATACATTACCTCTCATTTCCTGTTTATGCAGAGCACTTTTGAGTCTATTAGTTATTAGCTGCTCATAGTCCCTTTTGCACAGGGTTTTCTGAGCCTAAAATGAATAGCATTTCTTTGTTCAACAGTTTGTCCTATAGGGGATCATGTGCCAACAGACTAATAATACTACATTAAATAATGAAAATTCTACCACACATAATCAGGGGATTAGAGAATGTCTTATTCCCATTGGTGACTATTCACTAGAAGTTATAACTGTGCTACTTGCATGAGTAAGCCAGTCACTAATGCAAGTAAGGGCATCACAGCTGTGGATCACCAAAACATTTGTACAGACTGTAACACTCTGGTTTACATTGAATAATCTTGCATTAAAGTCAGTGAGACCAGTCAAGTTATTACAGTGCGTGTGATGAAGATACATATAATAATGTGGCCATTTCTATTACATAGTTGAACCTAATAGAATGACCTGTAACAGTAAGAATTACATCTAGAATACAGTATTTTCTGCTTTGGTTTATTACCATTAATACGAAGTATATACTTCATATCTTGCATATATCATATAGCCCCATAACAGAAGCCATTAAGCTGAAATAAAGTATTATGTTAAAAGCGCAACAAGCAAAACTTGACATATCAAATCATGAATTGAACACAAGCCACTGTGTGGTTTGGTGGTTTTTTTCCTAAGCAGTCACACCTATTAATAAGTCATTATTAAGTCCAGAGGCCTACTGCTGCAATATCTGTTATAAAAAAAAAACAACAACAAAAAAAAAAAAAAACCACACTTTTAAAAGGAGGATGGAGGGTTAGAAGGAAAGAATGGGCAGCTGCTAATGTGACAGTATTCTTGAAAAAGATTTGCTTTTTTTTCTTCTCTAGTGAATGAGCTGGAAAAAAAAATAAAAGTCACACCAACACCCTAGTTTTGCAATAAAACAATATCATAGAAAAAGATCTAATGCTTTCCATCAGCAGAACACACAGCAAAGGAGATACAGACCTTTATCCCCATATTACAAAAGAAAGTGAGGATGCAGTTGCTCTCAGCTCACCTTGCATTCTAGAATAAAGACTAGAGCCTAAAGACTAGAACAGAGTCTACGTCTTTTGAATGCCTACCCAAGGCACTACAGTCTCTGTCCAGCCGACATGGACCCCATCCTCACAGGATCTGAATATTTTCAAGTTTAGATCAGCACTAGGGATGTCTCTTTTCAATGTAATTGATTCAGATGTATGTAAAGATGATTACATTTTTCTTCGTTGCCTTATTTCTGTTTTGACAGGCAATGAAAATGAAAAGTGTTTGTTTTGTTGCTGCGCTCCTTTTAATCTTAGTTCAAGACAGCTGGCAAAATCCTCTTCAGGATACAGAGGAGAAATCAAGGTAAATTCTTTAGATCAAACTTCTAGGAACACTGGGCCTGAACTTTATTTTCTTATAGTTTGAAGCAAAACATACTATAACTTCAAGACAGTTTTTTATATACTATTACACAGTACTTAATCTACCATTGGAATTGGCAAAAGTTTTTAATATTGCAAAGTATAGCACAGAAGTTTTTGGTATTACAAACAATAGCTGCCTTAGTTATCCAAGAAGACCTTGTAGTTGTGCAGTATCTAATCTGCTGTGCCAGCTAGTGATCAATATGTCACTTGCTTTCACTTTATGAGAGTATTTTTAAAAGAAAAGTCAACGTACCTGTAAAATGTACTATAACCATTGCCAATTAACAAGTTCTAAACTTTTTACAGATCTTTCAAAGCTTCCCAGTCTGAACCATTAGATGAATCTAGACAGCTGAATGAAGTGAAACGTCACTCACAAGGCACATTCACCAGTGATTACAGCAAGTACTTGGACACTAGACGAGCTCAGGACTTTGTGCAATGGTTAATGAGCACTAAAAGAAATGGGTAAGCATTTTGATCACATTGCTATAGATCTCCATATACAGAAACAGCCAAAAATCTAGCTGAATTCAGTTTCCTGATTTCAGCTTCCCATCACAGACCATGTATAATCCTCAAACAAGTAAAGTACTTAAGGAAAATGTATATATAATGTTAATATATTATTAGAAATGGGGAATAAGTGCAAACTCAGTCAAAAGGATTTGGACAAATCAAGTGTAGTGTCAGTATATTACCTGATAATGTCATCTAAAAAGACTATCTCAGCCTCTTTGGGACAGATTGTTTCAGTGAATGAATTAACTTCAATAGGAATAAGGTATGTAAATAAAATCTACAGGTCTGGGCCACTAGGCCTTAAGAAAACTTTCCTTCTATGGATACTCTTATCCTGAAGCTTCATTTGTGAAAAGGGAGCTAAGGTTTAAGTTCTGTTGACCACTGGATACTTTACCAGTATCACAAGTATACTGTTAAGGCATGAGTTGGCATGTTTTTTGAAAATATACTTTGATTAAACACAAGCTACCAAGCTGAGAGCAAGAATAATGTAAAAACATGTTAGTCTATGCACTGTGTTCTAGAGAAGATCTGTCCACAGAATCCAAAAATCTGCTATATTAATGCTTTTAAATCCCTGTGGAAGTCCTTAAAATATAAAGTAACAATTTCTAGATATTGTATTAATGTAAAATCACAAGCCTGAAATTATTTATAATATTCATCTGTCAGTCATGGTTGTTTATCATAATATTTAAATAATAACCAATGAAATCGTATCACCTTATGCATGCTCTGCAATGTACTGGTAATAATGATCTAATGATTGTGGAATTCCACTACAGCCAACAAGAACAGGAGGACAAAGAAAATGACCAATTCCCGGACCAGGTCTCAAGGTATTCTAGTTGCCACAACTTGTTACACAAAAACACTTTGAGCTCATTTTCTGTTAAACAAGGAAGAAAACAACTAGTATTCTTTACATTGTTATCATAATCCAAGAAATACCTATCAAAAGAAATGAACTCACACCTGCTTTTTACAAGGAAAGAGGAAATATCTCTATGTTATTTATTCTGGTACCTGTGTTCCATAGCTATGTGCTGTGGCTTCAAGGAATGCAACAGGATGATAACTGATTTCAGGAAAGGACATTGCAAGTAATAAAGGAGAGGAGAGACCAAGATAAAAAGAAAAACTTGGTATAGAAAAATGCTGAAGCAAAAAAAAAAAACCATTATGTTAAGGAAAAGAAAACCAGTGAGAAGACTAATGAAAGGAAAATGGCCAGGCACCAGTTTGCACAGAGCTGATAAAACACAACACAATGCGCAGCCCTAAGCACTCAGTGCCATGCTACCTAAACTGCCCATTACAGGAAAGGAAAACACAAGACCGGCTGGAGACCGGCTGTGTTTCTTGACAATGTTTTGGGGAGAAGGTTGGGGGGGTTGGAAATTTGAAAGAAATAAAACAAAAACCCAGTAAGTGTTTTTGCAAAACAGATTGGCATATCTATATTAATTCTTCCTTTTGTCAGAAGTTCCAAAGACAATACTCCAGATCACAAAGATCCTTTGGTTCAAAACACTGTCAGCATCAGTAACAAATCTGTAACAATGTTTCAGCTTCAATGACATAGCATATCTCAACAAAATTAACGTTTCATTAAAAATGTTCCAAACAACTCTAGTTAACATGCTGATGAAAAGTGCAGATGGTACTAAATTAGGAGGAATTGTGAGATCCCAATAAGATTAAAAATAATAGAAAGAGCTAGAGGCCCCGAAAATTGGGCAGAAATTAGAAGATTCTGAAATAGAAATGCTAGGGAACTTATTTGTGGAAAATATTCCATAATATGTCTACTTCCCAGTGTAGCTTGCCTTCCTACAGGCCAGTGTGACATAATTTTGTGCTGTGTCAGAGAATGAAGTACAATGAGGTGTAGGGACAGAGAAGGCAATTGTCTTTCTCTATTAAGCTGGAGGTGATCAGGCTTGAAATTGTTCCAGGATTATCACTTGGTCAGAATGATGACTAAAACAGTGTTCACAAAACAATTAAAAATGTAAATTCAAAAGGAATTAAGTCTGAACAGTTTGGCTATGAAAAAATGAAGACAAAGGGAGGAGGAGTGGCTTAAGGGAAATTTTTTGATGAACACGAGAGGTAACAAAAAGTATGTCTGTATAATACAATACAGTTTGTTGATCATAGCTAATTAATCTAGCAGAAGACCATTCCAATGCAGCTACAATTGCTTTCAGCACCTGATTTGATTTGTTCAGAACTAGTTCAGGCATCTCTGCACAAAACTGTATTGCATAGTACAGACAATGCCTTCAGAACTGAAAGACATCAAGAAAAAAAATATCAAGAGTAATTTGAGAAGCAAAAAAACCACCCTTCTCCCTAATAAGAAATGCTAGTCCGGTGGGTGGGAAATACAAATCAATAAAGGTTTAAAAAAAATTAAGTCCTTATGCAGTCTGTTCCTACAGTATTGCTCTTCTTTCAGCAATGCAATCTCCAAGCGTCACGCTGAATTCGAGAGACATGCTGAAGGCACCTATACCAGTGATATCACCTCTTATTTGGAAGGTCAAGCTGCCAAAGAGTTCATTGCTTGGTTAGTGAATGGACGAGGAAGAAGAGAGTAAGAATCCATCCATTCCTATTATTAAATTTTGCCTTGCTTTTGGGGTTAGAAATCAAGAAACCTTGATGTGTTTTTGATTGTTCTTGCTGTACTTCATGTTTTTCTTTTGTAATAGAAGATATTCTGTGGGTGTTAGACTACCACTCTACATTATTAAGTTCAAATATAGATTAAAACAAACCTGTTCAGTATGTTGTTACACTCTAAAAGGTCAAGCTATATTTAAGGTCAACATATCTAAAACTAAACCAGACCTTCGTCTACCTACCACCTTTCCCCCTTCACATAACATTGTTTACAGTCTCCTTAACTATCATTAAGATGATTCAAGTCAGTGTCATCTTAAATTACTTTCTCTTTTTTTCCCTTTCACAGTCAATCTTTTCCTCTGCAATATTTCCAAGATTAAATTTTTACCAATGTCATCAGCTGTACTCCATGTGCTGGTGATCATTCCCAGCAGTAACTGATGACTTCTTTTCCTCTTTCCATCTTTCCCTGCGCCACAAAGTCTCCCCAAGTTGCTGCTGCCAAAATAACTATAATTTCCTACAACCATGACTTATTTTCCTTTTTAAGACACTTCTACTTCTTTTGCTATCATTCACAGTTTCCTGGAGACAGTGCTCCACAGTTTTGACCTACCTATGTCTCTGATTTCTTTCATTAAGATCTTGTTCTCCACATACTCATCGCGGATTTCTCAAGCCTACTTGCTTCATGTACTCACTCATGACTTTACCCCTTTTTTCATGACAGTCTTACACTTAGAATGGCATTATCTTCAATCTCCTGCAAGCATGTTCTATCTCATCTATTTCCAGCCCTGCATGGTTAGGAGCTACACCATGCATATATCGCTCCCCATTTTTTAACTGTTCTGTACTTATTTGTGCCTTTAGACTGTAAGCTCTTCGGGGCAGGGATTTCAGTTCATCCTCTGATTATATATTCTACTAGCTGTGAAGTATTATGTAAGTCTCTCACACTATATAAAAATAATAAATAATAATAATAAAAAAATACAATCTGTAAGACAAGATTGTGTGTTGTAGTCAAGGAAGACTAAATAAGTAAAAGTAAATTTTGCAAATAATGATGATTTCCTGAAAAATCAGACTTAAATAAATGAGGTCAGCTATATAGAGAAGGGAAAGAATGGTGCCACTTCATAGTGATGCTCTAGATTTGCAGTTGTTTTTTCTGTCATATTTTATTTTAATGAGCAGAAATAGGGTATTTCAGTATCTGTAAGACAGAAATACAACCTAGCTGTGATGAACTGAGCTTAGAAACCTAGATGGACAATTAAATGTAGACCACCCTTCTGCTTTCCAATATTTAGTATTATCTGCAGTCAAACTTGTATATAGCCTTCCCTGAAATTATTGCATGAAAAGAATTAGCCTGCCTGTCGTTGATGCCAGAGCACAATGTGCTTCAGCATCAGGCCACCTTAATGGAACCTATTAAAATCTTCCTATATTCAAAGGGATGAAACAAGAGGGGAAAGTTTTCTAAATCAGGCTCTTAGCATAATGGGTTTACAGCGGTCAAAAAAGGATAGAGTAAGAATCAGGATCTGATTCCAAATATAAAATGCTATTGTACAGCAAAAAAAGCGCATAGATTTTATACAGGTGTTGTAACTGAGTTATTTTACCCCTCAAAAAAGTTGCTGCTCTTAATGTCTAAATGCTTATGCAATATAATTGTAAGTATATAACTAGGATTTAAGTCCAATTAAAACAGAATAAAATGTATGAAAATTTGACTATAATGTTTTAGTAGTGATATTTCTTAAATAACAATTTTTAGTAAATCTACTGTGAGTTTTTTTGATGCCTAGTCTACTTGGCATAGACATTGCAGACTGAGATATAGCTTTGCATGTATGGCTTTTTCAAAAATTCTAGAGAGGAATTTAGACTCACCAGAAGGAACAACCCTTATCTGGTAAAGGCAGACTTCCATGCCTTATTCTGTTGTGAAAATAATGACTCTAAAGATGTTCTGATATACATCGCGCTATACTGAGCCATAACATCAGGCTCAACCCTTAATTCCTTAAAATCACAGGAAATGTGCAGTATATTAGAATCCTGTAATGAGGCCCTTTTAAACAGTTTGTTTATTTTCATCTGCAAATTGTTTTATAATTTCTTCCCTTTGAAGTTTCCCAGAAAAAGCTCTTGTGGCCGAAGAAATGGGCCGAAGACATGCAGATGGCACTTTCACGAGTGATATCAACAAAGTCCTTGATGACATGGCTGCCAAAGAGTTCCTAAAATGGCTGATTAACACAAAAGTTACCCAAAGGTGCCTGAATTTTGATTGTGTTGTCCTTAATTTACTGGGGTTTTAAATGTATTTGTCACACATAGGGAAAATACTGCTAGTTTTTCTCTTAACTAGTGACATATCTGTAACTGTGTTACAAACTTTGTTACAGACAGTGTTGAACAAGGATAAGACACTAAACAGAACTCATTCCAAATATAATTTGCATTTTGCATCAATGGTGAATCTATTTAATAGTTTCCTATTTAACTTGAGGGGAGTTTTGCCACTGAATGTTACCAGAATTAAGGACATATTAAATTACTGAAACATAAAACTCTCCTTTGCATAGGCATTATAAAATCAGCAATATTTATTCGCAAAATTACACCAAATTTATTATTCTTTAAAGACCATGATATAAAACACTGCCTTAAATTGTGGTTTGTCATTAAGGAATAGGGTACTGTAATCTGAGTTCCTGATAGCTCACTATTTAAGAACTCTGCTTTAGTTTTCCTGCATATAGACAAATGCTGTTGGTAAAGCAACATTTTCTATGTGAGTTCTGTGAACGGGTTAATATTTAAGAATTATTTGTTAACATTAACAAAGAGTTTCAGAAATAATACAATGCCAAGTCAAGGCATATGTGAGTAGCCAGGCTTTTCAAAATGTTGCATGTCCACTCTGTAAAAATTAATTACTTTTAGTCTTTGGACTACTGAAGCACCGAAAATGACTAGTTGATCTTGGAAATCTGAAACAACCAATACTATCTCAAGAAATTTAGATGCTGTAATTAAAATATAGTTTTTATTAACATTTTAATATTTTTGTGTTTGTTTGTAGTTCAGCATTGAGACAAACAATTTAGGAAAATAATCTATTAGAAACTATTAAAAAGCTTTTCCTTTAGGAGTAATTGTTTTCAATCTGTTATTGGAGAGAGGCATTGAGAGGTCTGTGGAACTAACATCTGCTAACTCTTAAACAGAAAAAATATGTTCCACACATATTTCATAAATATTGGGAGATTTCTAATATGTCCTAATTGCTGCTGCTTTTTTTTCCAGGGACCTTTTGGGAGAATATCAGTAAAAATGCAGAATAAAAATGGGATAAATGAAGATCTTCATTGCATCAACTGCCAGTTATTAAGAGATTCTGAAATCTGTATTCTGTCATTTACATTAGGTGTAACAAAGCTTGTCACCTTGCATGCCAGGAAATAATTGTACTATAGTTTAGTGTTGCCAAAGGTTTATATATGGAAAACCTATTGTCTAAGGGATGGTTATCTTAACAGCTCTAAGACTATGAAAGTTCCATATCTTCATATTTTCCATTTATTAGGACTGAAGTAACTCCATTTATATTTAATGATAAAATTATTTTTCTAAAAGGTTGACTTCTACACAAAAAGGATTCAATCACCAATTATATGTGTTACTTGTACGGGGCTGGCAGTTACAAATGCCTGAGAAGTGAATATCCCTCTTAAAACCTTTGTTATAAAAAGGCTAAGCTTTAAGGATATTAAATGATAGCCTTAAATAAATTTTTTCAAGCTTCTTTTCTGTTGATTTTTCATGCGTATATCCCTTGTGCCTCTTTGCACCCTTTTTCATTTTATTCTAATATTTTAGTGTCACTGAGATCTTGGAACTGGTTTGTTTGGAATGATAAAACAAAACCAACACTTTGTTTTGTCACATTTTTTCCATAACGATTCTTAGAAAAGAGCTGTGTGAACTTTGAGTTATCTTTAGTTGAAAAAGAAATCGTGTAAGATTAAGCTAGAGTGGGAAACAAGACTGAACAGACAAGTGTTCTTCATTAGCATAAATTCTGGTTTCTCAGCAAAAGCAGGAGTATAGCTTTGAAAAATATTAAGTGCAATATACTCCATTAGTAGTGGAAACTGCCACATAATTTCTTCACATTTTATAAGATTGCCAAGTAAAGCCAACTCAAATGGCCCTGGGGTCACTCTAATCTGTGCTATATTCTTTCCTTGCTTCTTCCTCTGAGAACTGCTTTGTCCATCTTCTCTTGCATTTAGTAACGTTGTACTGTAACTTATAAGCACAACTGTCCTTTCAGTAACCTGTGCCTTCTCCATTATGGGGACAGAACATTTTGCTTGCAGATCTCAGTGTTTCTACCACTCCAAACTATTATACTCTCAGCTGGCCAGGGCATGTTTTTGTAGGTATGGTAGTAGCTGCAACACTCAAATAGCCACAGGTGCTTTACGCATCTCGTACTTCTGATGACTACCCAAACCCCCTTTTCACCCCTTGATATAATACCAATACTCCAGGTAGCTATATTAAAATGTCCTAAAGGGCAAGTGATTTAAGAGAAAGCCAATGGGCTTAGCAAGTACCTAGTAGAAGTTGATGTGAAGCAGCAGCATTGTTGAATTAGAATTAGCACCCATAATTTTGCTAGGAATAACTAGTATTGTTTTGTGTCACATTTGGTTTTTAAAGGCATCTGAAACTTTCATTGACAGTGTAGAATTTTGGAAAAAATAAGATCAGATTGTCCTCCCAAAGTGCTACAGGAATCAATATTCTGGAATTTCAGATCAGGACTGATCATACCCAATTTGGCATCTGGAACAGCTTCTTGACAGCAACAGCAAGCTGTTCTAACATCTCAACTTTAAACAATTAAAACTCAATAGAACTTCACACTAAAAAAAATCATAGCATGCAAAATAGCAATGGAGATTAAAAAGGGGGGGAAAAAAGAATGTATACGTATTTGTTGTTTATTTAATCCCATTTGTACACAGTGGTTTGGTTCCAAGTGCTTCTGGAACCGAAAAAGATTCAGTTATACACAGTTGGATCCATATGGTCCAGGCTGAAATGGTACAAACAGTTAACTCTTTTATTTCCATAGGTTGAGCAATTGTCTTTAAAATGTTTTATTCCACTATGTCCAGGATGTTTAGTGCTCTGAAGGACAGGATTCCTGAGTTACAAATCCATTTTTCTGTGGTATCTGTCACCAGTGTATTTGAGCACCTCCTGATGGTGGCTTTGTCAGCTATGAAAAATACTGTTTTCCCACATTTTTACAAATAGTATGCTTTTAGGAACAGAGAGGTAAAAATTATTTTCTCAAAGTCATGCAGCTTGTCTGGAACACAGCAAAAATATTTAACTTCCAATTTTCTAAGTCCCAATCTAGAGCATGAATCAAAAGACACCCTTTCTTCAGAAGTGAGATGAAGTTGAGAATGTTCCAGAAGTTCCAAACACATGTTTTAGCTCAACAGGACTAGGACTTCTATATCCTGAAATCACAGAGCAAGTCCATATGGGATCAAAAATAAGGTATGTGCTGGATGTTTCTCATACATGCTACATGAAATTCAGCGAATGGTACAAACATAGGGAGAAGTAAGTAGGAGTCACTTCTTCTTTTAAAAGTGTCTTTACTAGACAATAGCTACCCATGTCTACAGGCTGAAAGAGGGCAGAATAGCTGCAGCATTCAAGCCCAGAGAGAATTGCTATTTATGTTTCAATTTTAATTTTGTACTTTAGTAAGGGAGAGAGGTAATTCTAGGCCTTACACGCTGTCAGTGGCACACTGGTAGAGAAGTTTAGGAACAGAATGGCATGAAGATTCTTTCCTTTTAAATAACAGATGGTTTTCAAAGTCTTCAGGCAATGGAGCAACAGCTCTCAGTTATTATGCTGATTGCATTGCCTGTGGTGCTGCTGCTTGTATGAGGGGGCTTCAGTTTGCTGTAGGCCAATAAAGGAAGGGAAGTGGGACTGCTTAAGGGAACCATGCTCAGGAGCATGTTTCAGCATTACCTACAGGGCTTCATCCTCATCTGCTTTCAGAAACATTAATCTTCCTTCTACTCAAGGTACCCAAACTGTGTATAGCTTATTAAAAGCACGTGCTCTGATGTATATGAGGGCTCTTGACTGGCATGCTATAAAAGATGTCACTGTTGCAATGCCCCTCTGTGCCTGATGTGAGTTTTAAGTCTACAAGAGAGTTAGGGTATGGGTCCCATCTTATTTGAAATACATTGTAAATGCATCCTAGATGCAATTTATGGTGAAAAAGCTTAAGTATTTATTTTGTTTTCATTCACTCCATGCTGACTTCTTCACTCTACTAGAAAACTGAACCTTACACCTTCTTAAAGTTGTATAAAAACAGTACCACTGGCCCAGATGTTTTGACTGTATTGTGTATGTGCACCTTCTACAATTCCATATTCCATGAACTCATGTGTATCTACAGTCCTCTGTGTATCTGCACGTGTGCTGCCTAGAACTTCCAGGTGGCCTTACATTAAGAAGTGTTCCTAATATTATCTCCTTTATTAACTGTATTTTATATGCCGTGTGCGCAGTAGCCTTCCTCTTCCACCCTATTTACTAAGTATCTCGAAAAATAAGCATATTCAAGCAAAGCAAGACAACTAATTGCAATTAATACAATAAAAATTAACAGGAACCTAAGATACTCTAACCATTTCACTGTGCTCTGAGGACACATGGCAAGAATTTTCAGTTGCCAGGAAATTAATTTTATAAAGAAAAATAAACTTGAAAGAACTGAATGACAGCTGCTACTAGCCACATCGGAATGGTTGTCCCAATGACATAACCACAGAAAACAGGTTTTTTTTCTCATTTGCTTTCTTGATTTACAGTTAACACTCTCTTCACAATCCTTTCAAACAGAACCAGTGTAATGATGAATTATGAAACCGTCCTCATGCCATTTCAGCCTCAAAATGCAAAGAAACAAAAAGAAATTATTTCTGAAAAATCAGACTTTTTAATATATTTGGTATCAAAAGACACAGTCAAATAGAACTTGAACACTCCTCAGTGCTAATAGCACTTCTGGTTTCTCTTCCTCACAGCACATTTGAAGTGAGTCACTGAATCAGTATAAAACTTTCTCCAGCAGATATTTTGTCTCCCATAGCCACACATTGAGACATCTGGAACACATTGTTGCACCTGTAGACTGTATACACTTTAGTCGCAAACAATAATATTTTTGTTCTGCAGAGAGCTTATGTTTTCCATTTTTCCTGTTTGACTTCTCCAAGTATTTCTGGAGGAAAGACTCAAATATATAAACAGATTTATAACAAATTCTTGAGTTTCACTGAGGCTAGAAGTCTGAAGGAGACATCATATCTGGCAGGTTCACCAAGTGTTTGGGAAAGCCAGCCTTCAGGCTGAAAGCTGTATTTCGGTTCTTTCTAGTAAGTAGCTCTTCTTAATCATACAACTGCTTTATGAATACTTTTGTGCTCAGCATACAATATGATGAACAGCCACGGTTTCTCAAATTTTATTGTGTAGCAGCCACTGCTAGATAACCATTTCTTTAATCTCTTGGCATCATATTAATACGTATCTGATTGCAAAAGAACGCCATGGTATGAAGTGATTTGAAATATTTAGCTAGAGCAACTTTTTAAGTCTCAAGCTATCATAAAAGACAATCTAACAGAGCACCGGAAGTACAAACATTGCAATAATTTTTGTGACCACGGGTATTTTGATCAGACAGGAGGAACTTGAGGTTTTTTCAAGGCATAGAGAATCACTGCTAGGAACTATTGCAACTAAATGGAAAATGTATTCTGCTATATTGACTCTTACTGGATCACTCAGGTGGTTCTGAGTACAGAAATCAGGTCCCATAAGCCTCTCTGTCATGACCAGAGTCAGAAGCACTGCAGATTATTAGACATTTTGATCTGGATACAGCAATCCAGATTTCCAAGGTACTTAAAATTGTGTACCCAGTGAAACTAGCAGAAGCATATGCTTTGTCAGCATAGGTCTCTTTTTCTTCTTAGAATTAACCACTGAGAACCATTGAAACTTTGCAGATAATCTCTGAAAACATTAAATTGCAACTTGGCTATGAAAAGCTTGGTAACATTCAACTACATTTTATCACAAGACTGAGATTATAATTTGACTGGACTATACTTTGAAACACAGTGGTGATCATTACTTAAACGTTTCGAAAACAAAGCACAGGTTGGCTGTATTATATACATGTTGTGATTCCTACTCACTGGGAAAAGGAAAATTCACCCCGGGGCAGGGGGTGGTGTCTGTTTTGTTTTTCTTTTTTGTTGTTGTTGGTAAAATGAACGAGTGCACAGTATACCAGATAGATATTTAAGTGGGACTGTAAGACATTCTGAAACGCTAGTCATGCATCTCACAGCGTACATGGGATACAAGTTTGAAAACTAATGTAAAAGACTCCCATATCACTGTGATTTTACTTTATAAAAGTGGACTTATCTATACACAGAAATCAGTGTTAAGCAAGCTGTGAATTTGTAGCACGTTAGATCCTCCATTATAAATTTACACTGAGCTGCAGGGAACTACTGTCAGGGCACATTAATGCTCTTCCTAAGGGAAACTGATATAGCTAGCACAGTGTATATTCATGACTAGCAATAACCACTGCCTTCAAGGAGAATGGTGAGCGGAGCATAAATTTATATCTCGATGAAGTCTATTGCCTTCCATATAGACAAACCC